TAGGCCAGATGCTCAAGTCTGATCGGAATCACAAGTCCAATCTCCCCTTTGCTAAATAGCTCTAGAGCTGGGTCTATCTGTGGATCCATCAAACAGCCTCCTGCCTTGAGACTTGTCACAGGAGACAACAGTTCGAGGGATGAGAAACAGGGAAGGGCTGGAGTTGCAACAAAAATATGGAGCGATTTAGTAAGGGAATGAGTTTAGAAGAGGTCAGTTCCCCTACAATTGATATTACAGCAATGGGTAGATGCTGGTGGGCCGATTCACACAGTGTCTTCTTATTGCACTTGTGGAAACTCTCTACTGAAGAAATACAATCCTTCTGTTGTAATCTACAAAATGTATCTTAAATAAAAAATGCAACATTAAATAGGAATAAGAAGAAGTAGTTATGTGATTCAATCCATGAGCATTACACAAAAATGATCTCAGAAGGCGACTGATCCCAGTGCTTCTGGAGTCCAGGAGGGTCCAGCCCCATCCTACACATGCTCACCTGTTCCAATGCTCAGTATACAGTATAGCCATTCTGCTGTAGTCAAATTTCAAAGGGCTCAGATCAGCAGGCATTTTCGCTCTGAAAAATCCACAAAAGGGCTCTCCAAGACCAGCTTGGCCCCTTGTTAACATTGTAAATATTTGTCCTCAGAAATGTACTGTAAAGCACTAGGTTTCTGCTTCTAAAATTCACCAGAATTTCTAAGCAGGTCTGAGAACTTCCTAATTGGCTCATGAGCAATTAATTCTCCTAAAATACATTTGGTGCCAGATTCCAAATTTAGGCTCATTGGCTCTGGGGACTTAACTACCCTTTTTCTACAATAGATCAAAGAAAAGACTTGTGAGCATGGGATACACTGTAATCCAACTCCATGGAAACCAGAAAATGACCATCTACTTGTAAATTCTCTTTGGGGTCCAGGTGCCTCTTTGAGGTCTTCAAGCCATGTACAGTTTCTTTAGATCTTCCACCTCATAGGGTTATTTAAGCATGTTAAAAGAGAACTCACACCCTTAATTAAATCAACTTACCAACAAACATGGCATTAAAACATGCAAAAAAAAAGTAAGTAAAAAGTGAAGGCAATGTAGAAAAAAATAAAGTCAACCATGTAAAAATAGAAAAAAAATATTTCCCTTAACCTTAATGTTAAAGTTATATAGGAAAGTGAAAAAAAGGCTATGAGGACATTAAAATAGGCCAACTATTAAAATTTAGAGTGGTTTGCCATTGAGCCTGCGTCTTCTCAGCATGCCTCCACCAGGTTAACCGCACCTCCTAATGTTTTTCATCGTGACCTCCTTACCAGGGTTTCTGACCTGTCAACCTGAGAATAGCATCATACAACACTGCAGGTACTATATGACTGACAGCCGTCCAGTAATGATGCAAAAGGGGGTTGTTTCGAAGATTAACATTGGGGCGCCTGAGAGCCTGTTCTAAAGGATTCATCTTGAAGGATACATTTACATAATATTCTGTAGGAAAAATAAGGATCAGATGCAGTGAGAAAAAAAAATGTACACACACTGGGACGCAACAAAGAAACCATAAACAATGAGGCATTTTTTTTTTTAATTTCCATAAAGAGAATGACCTCATTAACAATGGAAACCTTGTTCAATTCTAGCTCATTTCTGAGAAAGTCTCATTTGAAGTTTTAGTATTTCCTGGGTCCAATGATCAATCAATCAGCTGGCTTGCTGGCAGTAATGTTAAAGAAGTTTTCATCATTCTCCATTAGCCAATTTTATCCGGAATTGTCAAAAAGAGCAAAAATACAAAATTCCTAAAGTTATTAGGTCTCTAAGCTATGAGCCATACTAAATGGGTTTTTAGCACATAATGCATTTCAACAGGGCTTAGTCCAAATTTCAAACGTATCTGTTAGTTAAGCTGCCCATAGCTGGTGCGATTTTCTTTTCTGCATCCACGGGTTGCAGGAAAGAAAATCACTCGATTCCCCAATCAGCACAGTCAGCATTGATGAGGGAATCCCTCCTTCAAAAACATTATGTTCTTCCGGCAGGTGAAGGGGGGGGGGTGAGAGCGTGGGGACCCATCCCTGTCGGGAGAACATATAGTAATTATTGCTAGCAGCTATATAATCACATGAGAAATCCAAAATACTGGTTGTACCCAAGTTGATTGATGGATTGACTTGGGTACAACCAGCCTGCCCAAACATGATTCAAATTTCGGCCAATCCCTGGTGAACCACCTGAAATTTGAACAGTCTATGGCTTTATGCCACTTTTTGATATTGGTAAGAGCTGTGGATTGAAATTTTTGGGATAATTTATAAGATAACAAGTGCAAATTAGTGCCTGTAATAAATAAAGAAATATAAAGAAAACTACGTGGAATAAAAAACAAAAAAAAAACAGCAAAACATCTATCTTAGTGGATGGAGTCTAATGCCCGACTGAAAAGAATACACTTATTTGCAGCCTCTTATGATGAGAGCACCCAAACACCCCATGGATTTCCTACTACAAAACATTGAGCTTGTTTAAACAGGAGCTCAGGGGAAGCAGGTATTTATTAATGGCAAGCAAAGAGTGCTTTTTTTTTGTCATAAATACAGACATTGCTGATCCTGACACTTGTTTTTCCAATAAATGTGAAGTGTGAATTTTAATGTAGGGTCCATTTTAAATAATTAGAAACTGCCAACATATAAGTAAATGATCTGGCCAGAAGAAAAACCATATAAAACCTTCAAATGATAACAAAATCATCAGTCAATGAACCAGAATAGTTGATTTCCAGTTTTCAATATGATGATACATTCCCTTTAAGTGACAAATAGTCCACAGACTGAGAAAACTTTTACTGGACCAGCATAAAAAAAAATCCTTGATATGAACACCTTGAAAAAAATGGAATGATGACAAGATTTATACTTTACCCAAAACACTTTTGTTATCTAAAATTTAAAGAAACAGGGCATTCACAACTGGAAATGGTTTAAAGGATTCAAGGATAAATGAGAGGAGAGGAGAGGAGGTGGAGAGGGTGTTTAGGTATGGAAAGCTATACATAAACACAAATGATATGATGAATATATTGTCATGGTAATATGAATAAATGTTATCAATGTGTACTAATGTTTTAATTTGCATGTATATTTTGTACTAGTACTGTGCACTTGTTGCATATGCAGTGGCTGCTCCCTGGTTAGCTGAACCTTAAGGGTCTATGTACAGTGGACATAAAAAATACTTCTTATAAAGGCGTTTTGCATTTTTTTTTTTGTTCAGCCTGTAGAAGTAGTTCTATGTTAGCCTATGCGTCCATGCACATTCAAATGTTTATAGGCATATTTTCAGAGGAGCGTTTAGAGGCAGAAAAAAACCCCCAAAACATCAGAATAGCGTTTTTGAGAGAAGCTTTTGGGCAGAAAAATGCTTAACATGCATAAACATGGCATTTAGGAGTGTTTGATAATTTTTAATGTACATTTGTAAACACCATAAGGGGATGGTTTGGGAAAAAAAGCTTTTTAAAAGCAAATGCCCATAAACTCTTTGCAATACAAGCCACTAAGACCACTTTTCATGCTGTTTTTTTCTACCAGAGGCTCTGGCATTTTGTTCTGGCCCTAGTGTTGAACCCGAAAAGATAAATGTACTTTAAAATAAAATGAACTCATTGTTTTTGGGGTTTTTTTTTAATCCCTTTCCCTGACCTGAACTAACTCTCTCCCCAGATGCATACTTCCCTTCAACAGACATGTGAAGCCTCCACTGGATTTACATCATACCCCGCCTGCGCAGCAGCTCACCATGGATTACTCTGGGGCTGTGTCCAAGGCCAGAGAAGGCCCCATGAAGTTTATGAGGAGCTAAGGCTTAGGTACATCCAGTGCTTAGAAAAATGTCAGTATATGATGTAAAACTGTGTAAAGGCTTTAGCTGCCAGATTGAGGTACATATGCAACTGAGGAGGTTGTGGTTTGTTTAGGTCAGGGAGAGGGGAAAAAAAGGAGTAATTTAAGATGCACTTATCCAATAGATGCCCAGAGCTTCTCTTTTAGGTTTAAAAAAAATGCCAATTTTGTTTCTGTGCAGCCTATCCTAATAGATTAGTCTTTTTTTTTTTTCTAAGACATACAGAGGAGTTTTTCTTTATTGACTATTTTTTTTGTAATGTGAACAGGTGTAAAAAAAATCTGTTTACAAGGTGTAAACAACTGCTGGAGTAAAATTTCAGCAGACAGAAACTGGAGCGATGACACAGTTTGCATAGTTTTAATACTACTTTTTTTCCCATCCTGGGGTGAAAGATCAGGTCAGATGGGAACCTCTGCAGCAACAAATCATTCAGATTGGCTACTGATAACAACAAACCATTCATCCCCCACTGCAGTGATCTGTTCTTGAAAAGAAGGACAGGGCAAGGCTAAATGAACTTTGCCCTCTTCCAATATGGCCATCACATCTGAAAATTCCGATGAGGTCAGTGACCCAGTAGTTGATGATACCAGCTCTATGGTGTACCAGTAGACCTGAAAATCACTGAAAGCCCATCATTAAAATCTTCAAGCTGAAACAATGACTTTTATAAAAATACAAAATGTAAAGAGAAATGTAACTATATCTGTTTAAAACTGCACCAGGCAGTAATATGGCTAAAGTGGAATACCAAGTAAAACTGTTAAACACAATTTTGAAATACAAATTTGATCCTCTCCAAATATTTTTTCCTTGAGTCCTTTGTAAAAAGCTCTGTTTAAACCAACGTTCTCTAAAGAAAAAAAAAAATACACTTAGATCAAACATCAGCAAGTACATTTTATGTTGGTGCAGTAAACAAGGGACTCAATCTGCAGGCCAGACATTCCTGTCTACTGTGTAGTGGTTAGTAATGGGTTAGGTGGACACATGCTTAAGGACAACAGCGGATGACCCATCTCCATGAGTGCTCGGTTGTAGACATGGGCTGTTTTGACATGTAAGAGGAACAGAAAAATTACAGAGCTAGTCACCATTACCTTGGGCTTCTTCCAGTAATCCTGAGGTAGATATCATACAGGAATGCTGGGGCCTTATGGCTTACAGCAATCCAATAGTGATATAATAGGTGATTGGAGGTTAGATTTACATTGGGCCGTCTGAAGGCCTGTTCGAGAGGATTCCTCTTGAAAGTAGAAATTACATGGTATTCTAAGAAAGAAAAGTTCAATGGCTTAACCATGTAATGAACGGCAGGAAAAAAGTGCACAGATTTTCTAACCATAACACCATAAAACATCATAGCTACAATTGGGACATTCTGGGCCTACCAACAAAAAAAACATGGGGTAATAGCCTGCAATAATCATGTCTACATGCCCAACGCTAAGGGTGGACAGCTTAGCTTGGTTTATGTCTAACTTCCCTATGACCCTATCTGTAGCTTCTCTTTTTCTGTTCCTCTTATCTTCTTTCCAGATCATTTTCTTCTCTAAATAACCACCAGCAGTGATTACTTAAGCTGGCCATACACTAGTAGATTTAGGAATGTTCGTCCGGACATTCTCACCAGTACACTTCTTGACTTCAGTGATGTTTGAAAGTACTTTGCTTTTAACATTCAAATTTGGAATGAATGTAATTTCTAGAATGCAAACCGTATTCATTCTTAGAAATTTTCGAGAAAAATTCCATCCTGCTCTTTTGAATTTTCTCTTCACCGCCGTCATAAACGAACGCTGATTTGACCCCACTAACCGTTTACAAAAATAAATGAACGTTCCCGAAACTAAGGTTATCAAGCTAAATTCTTCTAGTGTATGGCTAGCTTTAATTTCCAAAAGAGTGTCAGTTAATTGGACCAATATTTAAATGTTATTCTGGTGCCCCCAATATGATGTAACCCAATAAATACAAATTGTTTGCTTGTGCCACATGAGAAAATTAATTTTCAGAATGAAGATGTAATACATTTACGCCCCAAGCAGAGATTTATCCCATACCATGTTAAGAATCTTGATTTAGACAAATAAATCTTTTATTGTGCACAGATAGTCAAATAATGCATGTGGCCCAATTGTCACTTTCTAAAATTAGATGGCTTTTTAAAGTAACCAGATCAGTAAAAAAGGTTTTAGAGCAAAGTCAGGGATGATTCTTTTTTTTGTTCCATCCCTTTTTAATATATTCTTCAGGTTGGCAGGTGTGTGTGTGTGTGTGTGTGTGTGTGGGGGGGGGGGGGGACAGTCATTTCATAACATGTTACAGCCTGGATAGATATGGGTGTAATATTTAACATGTCATGAAGGTATGAAGGGTGAATTTATCCTTTAATGCTAAACTCAATAGTCCTGTCATAAAATACATGGAGAGCTTTTGCATCACAAATGCAAAACCAAAGCTCATTTACAGTCAAGGCTTCTCATATCGTCAATATACAAACCAGGCAGAACCATGTGGGTGATAATTGCTGGTATGGGTGAACACTGCTTCATCAGTACACTAAACAGGATTTAACGTGATCCTTTAATATTTGTTAAAACCAAAAAGTAGCGACTACTTCCCTCTATGTAGTATAATATTTCTCTATCACTACAACTAGGAAAGCATATTTGGTGTATCTTTTCTTTATTATGTTTAGGACTTAAATTTATATATTTTTTTCCCCCAAAGTGTGGCAAATGTGAAATATTGCATATCAATATTATGTAATTTAACCAGGCAGCAAGATGAGCTTGAGGCTCTGTTTCCTTTGTTAAAAAGCCCAGTAACAGAACTCAATAACTGAAGTCAAAGTTTTTACATATACAAGTGAATGAGTCAAAGCTGAGGTTCCTCACTTACTAGAAAGCTCTGCCCAAGGTTTCAGTAAAAGACAAGCAAAATAAAATGCGGCTATTACTGTGTTGTCTCAGTGCAACTGATAACAGTCTGGGATTTATCATGTATTAAGTGTTTTTATAAAGTGAAAAAAAATGTATTAAATCTGACCTACAACCATTTAAGTTTTCCTTTTACTCACCTCTTTTTCTCCAAAACAGACCTCAATGCTATTAATCTAGTAATAAACTTCCCCCCGCATAAACCCCTAATGATGAATGTACAGTGCCCCTACAGGTGCAGGGATTAATATCAAATATGGACTGCATGACTGTATGGAGAATCGACGGAGGGTGCCTTGGGCCTACAAACAACCTGAATGGACCATGGAATACCTATAGTCAATATCTGGTGAAAACCTTCCAATGGTAATTGTATTGTTTTTGCCAGCCTTCAAGAACAAAAGCACATCTGACATTGCCCTTAGACTGTGGTCACTTTGCAGGGGGCTGAAGACTTAGCTATGCACAAGTAAAAGATCTATTCTTTTCATAGCTGAATTAAACTATTTAAATGTCATTCCTGGGCATTAACTGAAGAGAATAGAAAAACATGCTGAACTAAAGTAAGCTTAAAAAAATGAAATGTGGAAATAAAACACTAGCACATTCAGCAGTGCATTCCATAACTGAGGGCTGCAAAGTTTCTGCAAATTAAGATCTATAAAATCAGCAGCAGATCTGCCTCAAGAAACTAGCCTTCCATTAACATTAAGGATTACAAAGCATATAATTTCAAGACAAAATGAAGAGGTCATACCAACTTCACCCCAGTGGAAAGGATTTGTGCCTCCTGTCGTACAATTGTATACTATAATATTTTTAGGCCTAAAAGGAAAAATATGGAGAGATTACAATGGGCATTACAGAGATGTTAAACAAGGTGGCTTCCAGACAGAAGCCAGTGATGAGTCCTTGTAAAGTTCTGTACCTATTAATTCCGGAATACCAGGCAGCAGCTACTGTTGTGTTCACAACTACATCTACTGGGATCAGATCTGCCACAGCATTGTTGGAAGCTCTCATAGTGCGAAGGATTCCCTTTCCTGCCTGTAAATTTAATACAAAAACAGAATACAAAACATAGTAAAAATTAAAACTTACTTGCACCCACATTGCTCACAAATTAAATGAATCGTCAATATTTACTTCAGCTGGTTAAAAATGAGTTGTTTTAAAAGGAAACATGGAAGTAGTCATTGTTGACCCATTATTCTGAAATTGCTCATTGCCTGGCTGCCACATCTTGCTTGATTACTACCCTTCAATTACCTACAACAAGTCAGCAAGGACAACTCCTATGTTTCAAAAGTTAAGGCTGCAGTGGCTATTTAATCCCATGCTGTGGAACTATTTAAACACTTGTTGACAGTCATTTACAGAAAATTTAAATCAATGTGTTGCTATTATGATTGTGAATATGATTGTCAACAAGTAGTAAATGTCTCAGCAGGAAGAGATTAAAACTACCCATGCAGTCCTACCAACATAACCTCACTGACTGGTGGACTAATGGGTAGCACTATGCAGGAGCTTGGGGTATTGAGTAAATTGTTGAATGCAGGTAAAAAAAAACTTGAGCCTTTAGAACCACTTTAAATGCTTTTAAATGCATTTATTGATTTTCTAATCAATACATTATTGTATTATTTGGTACTTTTAACATCTAGTTGGAGTTTGGCTTTAAGACAGCAGGATCATTATTGCAAAACTCTTTGAGATGTAGAGATCTAAAATTAATCTACTTACCGCAATGAACAAACCACTTGGGCCATTGAAATTATCAATCCAGCCCTGTTGAAAACAAAGAACAAACATTATCTACAATATAAGTCTGCATCAGAGAATGGATAGTGTAACCTGGTAACACTATGGCCAAACCTTGAGTCAAATACCATGCATGCCAATTCATGAAACTGTTGCCAAACTCCTTTTTATATCTTCCTGAAGATTAAAAGACAACAGGTGCCCCTGGTCTGGTTAATTTGGGCAGAAGCACTATTCCCTTTGCTCCAGTAGACACACAGTATGCAAAAATTAAAAGCCAAGTTAGAATCTTATATTAGGTGTCCCTTTTGTGCATTTTAGTCTGTCACCACAACAAACTATTACGGACAACATTTTTCTAATGCACTTTTAAGTGATGCTCAGATGAGCAGTGTTGATGCTGTAAGAATATTGGGAGCTTTCCAAAAAGCTTCAAGAAATATCTCTAGAAAGGACAGCAGGAGATATATGTTAGTTACACTTACCTCCATGCTGTCATTTCCAAGGCAAAACCTGAAACTGTACCTGGAGCACAGCTCTACCACTTAGGTAAGACTTCTGGTCTCTGGGCAATCTATATCCTATCCCCGGTTATTGTCTGGAAAGAATCAATCAATGCCAGTTGCAGCCACATAGATTTCTACTGCCATTCTACTCTACCAATCCTGTAAAAAAAAAGTAGAGCGCGGAAATATTGAATTATATTGCTGAGCTCCAGGCACAGTTAAGAAAGCTGGATCACAAAAAGCACAGCATGGAGGTAAATGTAATTAACACATTACACTTCACTCACACAGACCTTGCCAGAGATATTTCCTGGAGCTTTCCATGAAACATGAAGAGTTTTAACTGTAGATTTAAATTAAAACAATGCCAATCATGCCTGATTTGAAGTAACAAAAATGATGCTCTTTGGACTTAATCTCCAGCCTGTTTACACTACAATATCGAAGTCAAAAGGAAAGCTGGAGGGTGGAGCAGGTCTTCCACATCTTGACCTTTACCATATAGCAGCAGCCCAAAGCCAGATTACTGATTGTTTTTTCCACATGCAATCTAAATGTTGGGCTACCCTCAAACAGCATAGGACTCCCTTTACCACTATCATCCCTTCCTGGGTCTAACTAACATCACTGGCCCACATCAAACCTCCCTCCCTTAGCTGTTTCATTCCTAAAACGTGTGGAAGAGGCTATAAGTCCACTGGGCCTCAAACCATGGACAGCTCTGCACTCTGTAGTACTTCCCCAGCCAAGTGAATGGCTTCAGTACATGCAACACAAACTTTTTTATGCCCATCTTACCACCATAGAGCAAGTATTCAGAGACTTAACCCTTTTATGCCCCCATAGCTCTGACTGCCCATGTGTTGTATCTCAACTCTATAATAACCTCCTAACCCATGAATTTCCTAATCCTATTTTATTAGACTGGAAGAGGGTATAGGGACATCCCATCTCAGAGGATAACTGGAAAAAAATCCTTTTTTTTACTGACTTAAGTTAAGCATTCTAAGCCAAATGCAGGAGAGGAACTACAGGCTGCTAACTGGATGGTATAGATGCCCTTCTATGTTGCACAAGATGTTCCCATCAATTCTTATCTGGTGCTAGAGATGTGAAGAAGAGGGGTTACTATATTCCATGTTTGGTTGTCCTACACACAAATTACACCATACTGGAGATCTATTTTCCAGTTTTATATCCAAATTACAGATACCGCATGGCCGGAGACTCCAGAAGTACCACTGCTATCCATCATCCCTGAATCAGTTACTCGAATCAAAAAGGGACTCCAATTTCTCCTATCTGCAGGCCAAACCTTGATCCCCAGACATTGGAGGTCATCAATAATCCCCAGTATTAGAGAGTGGGTTAATCATAATACGAGCAAGCAGAAATTGACAGTTAGTTTGCAGGATAACATGGAAACATGGTGTACGTGGATTGACTTCTCTAGTTCTAGCAGACTTCAGCCCTTTCTCCGACTACTACAACTTGTTACCATCAGTACTTAAGAAACCAGTAGGTGGACTTCCGGATCAGATACCCTCCTTTTCCTTTCACTCTTTTGGCCTTGTATTTTCATCTGTTCTGGTTCTCTCTTCTCATTCTTTAACCACTCGAAGTGATGAAGATAAAGGCAGTGTTGCTAGCCTTTATCAAGTTTACTTGTTGCCATGAAGACCTCATGCACTTTGGATGTTTTTACTATCTCTTCTGGACGCATTTCATGGGCTAACATGCAGGAAAGTTTAGAGGCAGAAAAACAAACAAAAAAAAAAAAAAAAACACAAAAAAAAACACCATACGCCCGAGAGCAGTTTTAAAAACATCCAGTGTGAATGAGGCTGAATTGCTGTTTAAAAATACACTCCAGTTAAAGTGTTACTAAACCCACAACAGTAAAATCAGTCTGTATATGCAGTAAATCATGCTGGTTACACTCACTGTGGACCCTAAGGGGTTAATCCTCAGCATTGTATAAAAAGGCTGTTTGATCAGGTCTTCTCTGATCTTCCCCTTCTATCCCCAATCCATCTGCTGATAGTACAGAGCTCTAGGAGTCACTCTGCACATGCTCAGTTTACTATGTATTGCTAGAGAGTTTGTTTTTTTTTTTCTTTGGGAGGGTGCATGTAATCAGCACAGGGCCAATCAGCACTGTCCAAAGGGTCAGGGGTTATGCAGCTTCATGGGACAGTCAGAGCAGAATGAAAAGTCCTACTACTTTAACTAGTGCTCAGCTGGACACTGGTAGAAGTCACAAGACTTCTATATACTGCTGATGAGAAAAGGTATTTAGCGGTTTATATTTACTAAAATAATTGCATTTCTATGTTGTGTGTACTGTGGGAGACCAGATATAGTGAATGCAGGGTCAGGGGAGACCAGATATAGTGAATGCAGGGTCCGGGGAGACCAGATATAGTGAATGCAGGGTCCGGGGAGACCAGATATAGTGAATGCAGGGTCCGGGGAGACCAGATATAGTGAATGCAGGGTCCTGGGTTTAGTAACACTAAGTTTGAAAAAATCTTTGGGACACGTTACAGGTCCCAAAAGGCTGCAGGATAATTCTCATAGTGCAGCGCGGTTCGTGTATGCACAGTGAGAAACTGGCTGTGAAGCCCCAAGGAGTCACAGCCGGCTGCCCACGGTTAACATGCCTGTGCCAGAGACCCAAAGACCAGTGAAGAACTGGCCCAGGTGAGGACGGCACTGGATCCCTGGACAGGTATGTATTTATTAAAAATCCGTAGCTACAGTTTTTGGAGCTGCTGACCTTTAATTTTTGGAACCCTAGCTAAAGCTCCTCTTTAACAAAATGTATAAAAAGCAAAGGCAATGTTGCAAGATAGATTACCGACACTGCAACGCAACTTTAGCTTTAAAAAAAAAATAAATAAAAAAAGTTTATATATTTCCCTTAATAACCTATCATAAAACTTAAAGAAAAACATTTTTCAATGTACTTTAGCTTACTGAACCTGACTGAGGGTTAACAAATATATATTTCTCCACTTTACTTTAAAAGCAAAGCTTCAAGTCAATTATTTACAAAATACACAACTAGAGAAAGAAGAATGTGAACTGTAGGAAAACAGGACAGACAAGATGATTACTTACAGGGAATGGTTCCTTCCAGCTGGCTCCAACAATAGATGGTCTGACAATGGCTATATTCAGTTTACGTCCCTCCTGTTGCACAATATACTCTGCCAGGGCTTTTGTGTATGTGTACGTGTTTGGCCTGTCCCCTATGAGTTTTGGGGTTATGTCATTTACCAGGCTGTCCTCCATCCATCTATAAAATGGAAGCAAAGTTAGCTTTAGCTTTGTTACAAAACAGCTAAATGACTGTATAAAAGAACACATTCTTTGTAATATGAAGTGAGACTAATCAATAAAAACATGATTTTCCATTAAGTTTTTTTTTTTTTTTTTTTTTTGGAGGAGGATTGGAGGTAGGTGGGTGTAAACGGACATGAGTCCGTTTACATCTGTCAGTCCATGGAAGTGAATGGACCATCCGGAATGAATGGACCAGTGTGTTTACACCAGCTTACCTCCAATCCGATCCTCTTAAAAAATAAAAAAAAAATAAAGAAGGGGATCCCATAGCTCAGAGTGGGCTCTGCATAAACGGAGTGGACACAGACCTGTCCAACACCCACTCTGCTCTAATCAGCGGACAGATCCCCCGCTGATCAAAACAGAATCCGTCCCCTGTGAACGGAGCCTTTAAGCAAAGGATAGTCTACACACTGGTGGTCATAGCTCTATCCTCGGACAGATATAACATACAGTATTAATGTCTAATATATGTTATAATATAATTACTGACAAATTCTCCATTAATGTCATATAAAAAATTGTGCAACCATCTAACCAGGTATAAACATTAACACCTCGGTTACATCAGGTGCGACTTGGCATGCAATTTGCATGCCATGCAACTTGCAAATTGTATGCCAAGTCGCACCCTATTGTCCGCAATTACAGCAGTCAAATCAATGCAGTTCCGAATTGGTCAGAGCTGCACAGATTTCTAAAGTAGTACATGTACTACTTTTGGTGCGATTTGCATAGCATCTGTGTCAGATGTCTTGCAAATCGCACCTGAAATCAGCATCTCACCGACTTTGAAATCGTGCAACTTTCACTGTAAGTTGCACGATTTCAAAGTCAGGCTTGATGTGACCAGGGGTTCATGGTAATCCTGATCAGAAACAGGATTTCACAAAGCAGAAATGGGGAGGTTTATGGCCAACAATTCTTAAGAAAAGTACGCTTTATAGTAGATTTCCAATATATCAGTATCAATCAGTTTTAAAAGCCCCACAATGGGGTTTTCAAGGGGCTCAAATACTATTTTCCAGTACAAGATAGTGTAAATATACTATATAAATTTAGTTGTACAGCATTTTATCCTTTCATACATTACAAGGTCAAAACACAACAAATCTTCTTTGTATTACATACAGTATCTGTGGAAACAAGAAAAATACAGCTAATAAGTTAATTGTGCTCAAGCGCAACACCACCCATCCTTCCACACCCAATCACACTCACTTATGTGACACATGCAGTATTTGTTTTACAGGTAGAGTATAAAAGGTCAAGTAACAGGTAAAAGAAGGGCTGGGTTGAAAGGAGGGAATGTGGTATTTCAAAGCTTAGAGTGAAAAAATGTTGCATCACAACTTTTAAAATGGGTCTTGAAGCTGTGAAATTCCAACCAGTAAACTGTACATACAAAGAAAGAATGGTGCATGTGATCACAACGTAAAGTAACAAAACTATATATCTCAACACTTAACGTTGTAGGACATTCTACAGAGGCTGCATGCTACTTAACTATAGTTCTGTAAAACCTCCGGTACAGAGGATTTTAACCTGTAGGCAAGTGAAAACCATTTCAGTTTTCCTCTCATGATTTAAATCACAGCTAGATAAAATATAATACAATGCATACGTTGACTGGAAGACTTTCTTACCAGCCAAGATAACCCTACCCTTACTGTCTAGAATCAATCCCACTGCAGTTTAGATCTTCCCATCGGGCGTCTTCCTCTAATTTAAAGATTTGTCATTTTTTTTTATCCAGGCAGATGTGGTTACCTACTCACCTGAACCTGCTTAAATTTACTCAAGCAAAATAATTTCTAAGATATCAAGAAAGATGCATGTGTGCATATCTTTTCCCTATAAAATCTACCCCTCTTCTTAAAGCACTGGCCTTCTAACCTGCTGCCTATGCTACAAAGCGAGATTTTATATTCTTTAAAGTAGAACGAAGAATTTTCACGTTGGACAGGGTAAGGGAGGAGTATAACTCCTGTAGGGTTCATTTTTCGCCATCTGTGTCTCATTGAAGGGGCGATTTCCCTTCACTTCTTGCCCCATTGCCAAAACAGGAAGTAACTGAAAATCTCTCTAAAGTGAGGGATTCCCTGGTTGTCATCTGAACTAGTATTACCATTTCCTTTGCTTTCATTTTCCACAATATTGGTAAAAAGGATAGAGAGGGAGAATCTCCCCTACTGGGGCACATACAGCAATAAAATCCTGTCAGGTTTTCGAATCCATTCCACTCTATTTAAACCAAAAAAAGTTCTAATTCTAAAAAAAAAGCCCAGGCCAGCCAGTCCTAGCTGGTCAACCCCATACTAGGGTGGTTTAACGGTTCGATCGAACCCCAGGGGTCAGGTGAGTCTCGGGGGTTCGGCGGAGGTGACCCACACCCGACTCATATGATTTGTGATGACATGCCCCGCTTGTCCATCATTGGCTGCAGGTGGTCACGCAACATCGCTTAGCCCAGTGGTCGGCAAGCCGCGGCTCTTGTGTGCCGGGCGCCCGCTCCCCTCCCTCCTCTCTCGGGCGGCAGGGACTCAAATGCAATGATTGGCCAGTCTCGCTGCCACTCACATCCTGATAGCCAGTGATTGGCTGTCAGGATGTGTGTAGGCGGGGCAGCGTGACGAACGTGAGAGGAGCTAGGCTCCTCTCACAGTCCGCCCTGAAGACTGGAACGGCGCGGGAATACAGCGAGAGGAACGCGCGGAGCAAAGGTAAGTGAATTGACACAGGGGGGACTTGGGGACTTAATATGGGGGATGAATTAATATGGGGAATGAATTACTATAGGGGGAATGAATTACTATAGGGGGAATGAATTACTATAGGGGGGATGAATTACTATATGGGATGAATTACTATACGGGGGATGAATTACTATACGGGGGATGAATTACTATACATGAATTACTATTCGGGGGGGATGAATTACTATACGGGGGATGTATTACTATACGGGGGATGAATTACTATATGGGGAAGGAATTACTATAGGGGGGATGAATTACTATGGGGGATGAATTACTATATGGGGATGAATTACTATATGGGGGATGAATTACTATATGAGGGATGAATTACTATGGGGGATGAATTACTATGGGGGATGAATTACTATATGGGGGATGAATTACTATATGGGGGATGAATTACTATATGGGGGATGAATTACTATACGGGGGATGAATTACTATACGGGGGATGAATTACTATACGGGGGATATACGAATTACTATATGGGGGATGAATTACTATATGGGGAAGGATTACTATAGGGGGATGAATTACTATATGGGGGATGAATTACTATATGGGGGATGAATTACTATATGAGGGATGAATTACTATGGGGGATGAATTACTATATGAGGGATGAATTACTATGGGGGATGAATTACTATGGGGGATGAATTACTATGGGGGATGAATTACTATATGGGGGATGAATTACTATATGGGGGATGAATTTTCATACCGTTTGTTACAACATATCTTTGCGAGCAATCCTTTTCGAGGATGCTGGACATAAAGACGAAGAAAAGGAACAGACTTTGTTGCGAAAATGACATGAGAGTGGCACTTGCCAAGGTAATGCCGCGCATTTCTGAACTGGCCTCTGAAAGACAACAGCAGAAGTCACACTGATTTGCGGTAAATATTCATTATTTTGTTTTTGTGTGAAAATCATGTTTTAAATGGTTTTGTTCTTTGTTCTTAATGGTTTTGTTCATTTTGTGCACCTATGTATAAATATATACCTATGTTTTGAATTTTAAAAATCATATTTTATTTTTCCAATTAAGAAGGGTTCGGTGAATGCGCATATGAAACTGGTGGGGTTCAGTACCTCCAAAAAGGTTAAGAACCACTGTACTAGGCTGTTGCCTACATCAAGCTGACTGGTTCAGGAATTATGAACGAATGTGACATTCCATATATTCTCTTTAGGTTGGTTATAAACTCTGAGAAGATTTTGGCAAGCATCATTGTAGATTTTTAGTTGGCTCCATTCATCGAGTGGTAGCCTTTTGTGTCTAGATTCATAATCAGATGCTCTGTGTATTAAAATTGACATAACTAGTGTTTTCTAAAAAATGAAAACATCCACCCTGGCAACCCTGAAGACATGTGGTATAGCTGGAAAGTCAGCAAAAGGGAAAAGCTGGAGCCATGGTATGCCAGCTAAAACAAATTCTTTATTAATAATGGTGAAAAACAACCAAAAAAAGAGTCAATGTGTTCCAGCCATCATGGCCGTGACGAAGGCCTAACCGCTGACAGAAAACTAGAGGTTTGCAGAGACCTTTCAAGCTGGGTCTAGTGGCTTTGAGGCTGATGATGAATCATATGGAAGTGGTAGCTCAGATACAACTGTTCCAGTTTTTCCTTGGAAAGTATCAACTCAGCCTGTGTTCACACAGCAATGCGGGAAACCACATGTGATCCAGATAGGAATCGAACCGCATTCCTGTAAAATCACATGTGATTCTATGCAGTGCGATTTTAACCCACTCACTTTGTATGGGTTCAAATCGCACCTGCATGAAAAAGGTGCAGGCATCTTTTTTTTTGCAGCACCGGAATCAGATCACATGTGTGTGAGCACCCATGTGATCCAACTCTGGCAAACTGCTTTTGTGAATAGTTTTTTTTTTTTTTGGGGGGGGGGGGGGGGGTTAATTTAAAATTGACACCAGCAGCAGATTGCATGAACATAGTGGAACTTCATAGTGTGAGAAGCACACTGGATTCACTGCATATATGTGAACCGAGGCTTAACAAGGTAAACTTAAGCCGCCCATAGATGGATTGAAATTTGGCCAGTTCAGCAGGAACCAGGCAAATTTTCGATCCATCTATAAGCAGGCCGGTTCTGCTGAAGTCGATCGACTTGAGGACAACCAGCCTGTCGGGTTTTTTCCGTTCGATCACTGCTGGCGGCCA